TTGTATCATATTTGCACACACAGATATTCCAATCTGGAAGTATTTGAGCAAGTTCCTCTTTTGTGCTCATACATGACAGTGCATTGAATGCATAATTTAGTACTTATTTTCAGATCAAATAGCCTGGAAAAATTACGTGCACAATTGCTAGTAATTTGAGAGTGCAACCTGAGGTTGGAGCTTATTAACATATTCATTCTGCCTAAGCTCTGAGTACAAACTCAAACCATGCTGTCTCCTAACAAAGATTCTACGAGGCAGCAGGAAAAGCATGAATGTTAGATCAGTGCATGGTGCAACTTAGAATGAAGCACAGGAAGAGAACAGAGTGAAGTGCAGACAATTATCTAAATTCACCATAAAACAGAGTCAAAAGTATTTCAAAATATTTTATAGAAAGCAGGTTTTTTTATCATGATAAAAAGGAAATTAATTTGTAATTCTGCAAAACTTCTAATGGCTTTGTCTGAAGCACTCATACCAGAAACAACTTAGCCACAGTAGTAAAAACCTAATTTATACAATGAACACCTGTAGTTTTAATGTTATTTTTTAAAACAAATGCAGTTGTCAATTGAAGAACCATAGCATCTTTAAGCCATCAGTTTCTAAGCAAAAGTCTATATTCATGATGCCCACTGTTCATGGTGCAAATTTGGGAACATTTTAATATGAAACTTTACAGTATTCATCCAAATACTATATAGGTCTGCTTCAGGACTGTTAGTGAAGTAAGAGCTAAATCATCATCTGGAAAGAAGAATCCTAATTGCTTTTTCCTTCCACAAGAAATCAGGACTACAGAAATATAAATATGGAGATCCTGATACAAAGTGGGCATACATGCACAGAATGAGAAAAGAGATCTTTTATATGAAAGAGAATTCCTCAGACAGCCACTTGTCTTGTAGGAGGGCAATGGCATAATTCAATTTTGTTAATTATTATCTATGAAATAAAGAGAGCACGGTAACAGAATATACATATGCAAAAGAGAATATAATAATGCTTACAAAATGTTCTCTGTGTGCTGACACAAATATATATACAAGTACGTGCACAAACCTATAAGATCTTAAATAAATAACTGACAAATCAAGAAAACTGTTAAAAGAATAAATTCACTATGAACCAAGGTTATGTATTTAATAGTATAGTTTTGCAGAGTATGTCTTTCAGCATTGATTCATTACATAAGAGAATTTGACAAGGTTACAATTTCTGCTACTTGAAATTATTTTCAAGAATTAACCTTTAGGCTAAAAAGAATGACAGATATTCAAATGTTCTCAAATAAGTATTTGCATAGAAAATTTCTATTCATTTTTTCTCCCCAACAGAACTTCCATCCTTCATTGCAGTTTGTCATACACACAATTGAATTCTTAGCAGCTGCCATTCAAGGGAGATGCAGAGGACCATTTGAAAGTAATGTTTTACTCTGTGTGACATCTCACTTTTTTCTTCTCAGAAATCATAATTTTTTTACACATCTAGTAGCCTTCCTAACAGGAAACTAGCTCTGCCTGACATTTTGATTGGGGAGGAACCTTGTTTTCCAGGTCACTGCCTTGAATTCTGGAAACAAGATATTCATGAGGGACCTGCATAGGGAATTTACATCTCAGTACAGAGTTTTCCTCTCCATTTGTCAACATACGAGGTCAGTGAGCTGCTCTTTTGTCAGAGGGAAGATAATGGCTGTTGCATTGCCTCCCACTTATTACACACTCAGTGCATCTGACCTTCGTGTGAGACCCCCAAAGCATTCTGATTTTTGGCTTTCCTCATAACCTAACTCAAGCCCCTTTTCCCACGAACCTACAATCTGTGACTTTCAGTGACCCTCTTCTGTCTTCAATCATGTTTTAACACACAAGTCCCATTGCTAGACATTGCTGTTAAATACATGGTAAAGTCAGTGGCTAAAAATGTGAATACTGAATTTTGATTTTATTACGACCTAATCTAGCACATATTGAAGTCAAAAATGACAAGACTGACATTTTACATCACTTTGCTTGGTATCCAACCCTTACTTCACATATATTTTCAGGGTATTATGTGAACTGCCACTTTAACTGTATGGTAACAATGGAAACTGCATGACCAATGCCATGACAATGTCATTTTATGGTGTCACAAATATACATGTAAGATTCAAGTATCTCTACCCATAAGGAGAAACTGGTTTGTATACAAATGCAAATGACCTAGGGATAGGGTTGTTCCTGAGAAAAATTAAGTAAGGTTACCCAAGTTGAAAGACTTGAGGGATTTTCGTTGTGAACAAAATAATTTTGCTATTTTCAAAATTTTATTTAAAAATTCAGATTTGATTGTGTCACTTTTGTAGACCTTATTGTTTCTCACTATATATGACATTTGTGTCATTCACTGAAAAATGTTATGGTTAAGCAGTTCATGCCAGTGCTCTACTGCAGCACTCTGTCAGCAGTTCCACACATTCTTAACATGAATGACTCTTGAATTAGTCTGTCTTCAAAGCAAATAGTTGCACGTAGTGGAGGAAAAAAAAAAAAAGAGTTTTTAAATTATATATAAGCAGCAAAAATTGAGAAAATGAACGTAAATAGTAGGTGTGGGAACACCTGACTTACGCACACGACTTTTCCATTAACTTTTAGTTTTATAATGAAAGCACTTAGAGACCTAAGCCTCAAATTTAAATTAATGAATGAATAAATAAATACTACAATTCCTGCTACTAAGATTTTATAACTCTATTAATTTTAAGAACTCGGTCCATTCTTCACAGTTACCAATTGGAAGTTGTCTTTTAGTAACTGTCAAACTGAATGTTATGTTTGTTATAGTTATCTTAGTTATATCTTAGTTATCTTAGAAAACTGAGCCAGGAGGGTCATTTGTCTAATTACAAGACTTATTGTAAGTTGTTCCATTTACAGAAATATTGTTGAATAGATTTTTTAACTAAGTGACAGAAGTCCAAAGAGAGCACGGTATTTACATTTTCAGACTATATGAGTATCTTAATATAATATACAAAATGTCACTGAAGAGAAATAGGTATATTTGAAAAAAATACGGAGTACACACCTAAGACTTCAGCAAGAAATACTGTGACTTTTTAAGTCAGTATAACAATAAGATTGCTGTTTTGCATTTGAGACTATCAGTTCACTGCTTTATTTTCTTGCAATTATTTGAAAATAATCTGGGTAACTTTACAATCAAGGTATTTCCTCTTGGCTCCCTGGTATACACCAGGCTGCCTGAGGAGATGATAGACATCCTAAGGTGTCCACAGCATAATCAGTCTGAAGAGCCTCCAGTATTAAAATTCTAACTAATGATAATCAAAAAGAAACAAAAACAATAACAAGGTTGTGTAAAAAAGCCAGGACATAAAAGGCTACATCTGATTTAATGGAGCAGGTAGATGATTTGTCTATATGCTGCTAATATGCATCCCCACTGTATGTGACTTTTACACAAGACAAAGAGACTCCCCAGCTGTTGCTATTGCAGAACTGGCTGAACTGTACTCAGAGAAGATGCTTGTAATTATTCAGTAAAAATTGTTCATTCAGATGTACAGGTAATCACATAGGGTAGCATTTTGTACATCTTCAAGAGAGTTAGGTGTTTTTTATGTAGTTTGTAGCAGTTAGAACAGATGACTCATGCTCATGCTGCAATGGACAGGTAGGATCACAGGCCAGAGAAGTTTTGACAAGTGGTTTGAAAACAATTTCAGGAATATTTGATCCAGTGGAAGACTCTTGCTATGGAAACCTCCCTCACCATCTGATCCACAGCCAATCATACTGTTTGTCTGAGATATTTCATTACCCATGCAAGCATTTTCCCATACCAAAAAAAGAATATTTTTAACAAACATTGTCTGGATCTCTGTGCAACAACAGATGTGACCAAATACTGAAAGTAGTCCTGCTTCAAAGTGAATAATTTTTATAATAAACTAGATAACAAAGCACCACCTAGATAACAAGTTAGGAAGTTGCAGCAGACTTATGCTGAGATGCCTTGCAAGTCCTCTGTTTCCATAAAATATCACCTTGGTAAGGATCAAGCAGTTAGGCGAGAGAGTTTTTTTTTTTTTTTCCTGACAGTCAGGCAGTGTGCCTTCACTGCACTATTTCTGGAAGCCAGGAAATATGTAAACTTATGGTGTCATGTAAGCAAAAAAAAAGCTTGCCTACTGAGCTAAGTTTCAGGAATTCTCAACACAGATTTGCAAACTTCAGAACAACCTTAGAGTGCATCACTCTGATATAGTACAACTTTTCTGAAAATGCTTTCCAGAGAAAAGAAGGGTTCGAACCCTCCTTTGAAATTTTTTGAGGTTACAAATCAAAGTTAGGTTCCCCTCTTAGCAGTGATAAGGGAATTAATATTCCCTTGAGGCCAACTATATTTTGCCTAATGAATTTCAGATGGTACATTAAGTCTGTATGGTGGAGCAGGCATAAAATGTATATGCTTTTTTCATGTTGTTTCTCTGAAACTTCTAGGACTTTTGAAAAGCACTGAAGTCACAGATGGATCTGCAATGCCCCAGACACAAATATACACACCTTATAAAAGCCTCTTCTGTGCAATAACTCACTGAATAAGGCATTAGACAGTGGCCCAGACACACAAACATGAAAGCCACATTTCTACTTCTGCATTGCTTAAGAGGAAGAGACCAATACCATCGTCACTTTCATGAAAAAATGCGTTGGGAAACCATATTGTGTGAGCTTCTGGAGAGTTATTTCAGCTGGGCTTTATTCAGTTCTGTTTGTTATTATGATCTCCAAAGCATAATTATGTCAAACCATGTTTTTTCCTAATACCTTTATCTCAAAAAGAGCACAGGTTCCTTTGTCTTTGGGTGTCCTAAAAGAGATGGGAATGGTTAATTACCACCATGCTCCTATAGTACCACAAAACTGAGCCAAAAAAAGAAAAAAAAAGGCATAAAATACTAATACACTGATTTAAACAACGACTAAAGTGTGAACTGGACAATATGATACATTCTAGGCCTTGTTAAGTTATATTGATTATTCTACATCTTTAGTCTGGTACAATGAAATTCACGAAAATCCATGTTAACTGCAAAAATGTCTCTTCAAACAATGTTTTACTTCCTAGACAGATTTTCCATGAGGAAAGGGCTGTTCTAGAGTTATTTCAATCTTTCTAAAGGTATAAGTTATTGCCTAAAATTTAACAACTTTATTGTTACCTAATGTCTCTTAAATGTTAGGTGGAAAATCACCAGGAACCTTCCCCAAAAGTAGTAGACTTTCTTCATAACGGATTTTTGTTCTATTACCGAATCTTTCAATATGACAAATGACTGAAGTGCAAAGTAAAAGACAACAAGGCAAATTAATGCACTAATATAATACACAGGAGGAATGCACAGATAGTATGCAAAAGTAAAATGAATTAAATGCAGAAGAAATGTAAAAATACTGATCAGGTAAGAAAAATTTTTTTGAAGAAGTAGAAAAATTGCCTGTGAGTACACAAATATTATAGTGAATATTGTGCTACTGAAAGAGTTAGCATTCAGTCTACAAAAATGAGAACCTTTTCATGATCAAAGGAAATGTCTGCCTTGCACTGAGCACTGACTGTTTTTGCAATAATATGCTTTTATGTGAAATACCCTATTTTCTTCAGCAGAATGCTGTAGCATAAGTACTATCCCAATAACTGACATCCAGAGACAGAGCCCTGGCTGAGATTCTGAAAACATCCAGGTTTATCCTACATTTCACCTTTTCAAATGACCACAAGGACCTTGTATCACTTTTAGTTTAGCACAGAACTCACAAGACTCCAGGAGAGCCTTTAGTTATCTTCCTCATTCAAACCTTATTACAGTCAATAGAGACTATTTATTTTTTATTGTTATTTCTCCTACGCAAGCTTTGATTTAAATTCATCTCTTGCTTTTGTTTGGTTCATCCACAGTGAGAACAGAGACTAGAGGAAAACATCTTTGATTAAAGAAGGAAATTTTTTTAAAGTTGTAAAAGCATAAAGGTACCAATATTCATTTTACAAATTAGTACATTCAAGTTTGGCTGTAAAATTTGTCTCACCATTTTTTACACTCCACAATTCAATTGCCTTGAGTTTTCCAAATAGTCTGAGGAACAGAATTTTATCTAAACACAGAAATTACATTTGTGATAAAACACACCATATTCCACTTATCTGATAAACATGTAATCTATATTTAAAGTATATAAATAAATATATATTTATATATATTTATAAGTATATATAAAGCAGCACTGGAAATTCTATTGGAACATCTATTTTTGAAAAACAACAATCAAAATCATGCTAAACTGTGACAGACCTGATTACTGAAAAAAGATCTAGTCAGATTAACCTAGGATTCTTGTAAAATGAAGTGTTTTCTCTTCTGCTTTCAGATATTAAGAGACCCATAATAACATGTGGAATAAGTACTGATGGTGAACATAATGCATGTGAAAAATACAATGCTTATTATCTGCTTTCTGCTGTAAAACTTTCGTGGCCAACACAGCTGACTGTATAAAAATTGCAGAGCTTGACCTGACACTGCAGAAGTACAGGTTTGTTTCTATAAGGAATAAATACATTGGAGTATAAAAATCACTTGTCATTTAAAACACAAAAAGGAGAAAGATTAGTCTAAACCACTGAGGAATTAAGCAGAGACAGACTTCACAATATACATAAACATACATTATTGATAACTAATAAATTATTCCACTTTGAGGAGAAAGGAGACAAAATAGACTGAAATAGAATGAGTTAAAATTATGCATGTGGTAATAATTTTTTGAGAAATTATTTCTATTTCATCATGTGATGTGGTGATTTTTAATTTGTTTGTTGCAAAACTGAAAAAAAATTCTCATGAAACCATCTCTTATTTTAAGTGATTATCATGAAAAAAAAAATGCTGTTGTAAAGGCAAGACTCTTTTCTTCTTTTCTCTGTCCCAGAAACAAAACAAGAATAATTTCTCTGCAGCATTCTCAAGCGGCTTTTAGAGCTCTGCAGACAACTCAACATATTAATGGTTTGATATTTATAAGACTGTTCTACTCAAGGATCAGCAAGATAAGTAGAAGCTGAAATGCAAAAATCTGTTCTGGTAAAACCTGAAGTCTCCCATGCATCTTATAGCTCTATGCATTAATGCATTTTTAATACACCTCTTTCCTTTTGTGATTAGACTTGTCAGAACTGGAGCTCCAGGATCACTAAAAACTCAGTAGGCTTGTGACAGTTTTCCAGAACAAGTTCTTCACGTGTGTAGGAAAAAATCTTCTAGCAAAAGAAAAGCCATTGCAGTATTGTGACATGTAATCTCTGCTTTTATATTTTATCATCCTATAAAGCACTACAGTTCACTAAAAAACTGCTTCTGTATATATCTATTAAAAAAAAAAAAAAAGGTTATCTGGTTTTCAGCTTCCTAAGCATGCTAAAGTAAATGAACAACAGTAGTGATTGTGCCAGCTATCTTAACATTCAGCTGCATTCGTGCTGGAATGGGAGCCTTTATGTTGTTTGGGTAAGACCACGAGTGAGGATTTACTATCCAGAGCTCCTATTCCTGGGTGACAATCACTACTTTTCCAAACTAGCAACTTGTAACTATGACAACTGACCTTCAAGAACATTTTTCTTTTTCCCATTATTACCCATTCAGGTATTATTTAACGTACCAACAGGGTATTTTTGTAGTTTTTCAGCACACAGCTTGTTGTCCTTAAAATGAAAATATTTCACTGCCACATCAATGAAGTCACTTCTGTAAATGCATGGAAAAAAACCAAAAGTACTCTTGTTGTCTCTGCATTCCCTGTACAAGGGTGACTTGCACATAAGGAATTGCATCTCCACAAAAGGTGACAGTAACAGCTCATGAAATTTACTCCTAAAAGAAGAGCTGATGTTGAACCACCTAGAGAATCATTTTTAGAACATAAATCTTTGATTTAGGGATTTGATTGAGCATGTTGGTGTTAATCCCCAGAGCAGAGAGAAAAAGTGGTTGTTTTATGACAAGCTGTACACTTCTCAGACATATAGATGGAAATCAAGCTCACAGAAAGTGTATGATACTGTTTGTATCTCTGGATTTACTACTAGGAACTGTATAAAAAAAAAAAACAGAATAAATTTCTATTATTTTATGAAGAGTATGACTGATATTTCTGCTGAACTGGGCTGGAAGAGGTGTAGTGATGAGGGAAAAAAAAAACAGAAGAAAAACTCCACAGAAGGGTAAGGGTGGTTTTCAGAAAACTCAAGAATGTTCACCATTCCAACGAGAGTCAATAAAAAATTCACGCAAGAAAATTCATTAACTGGTCTGCTAATTGTGAAAAAACAGAATGCTTACAGAACACCAACACCCTGCTATCTATCCTGAAGAAAGCCTATGTACATTTTTCTGAAAGTCAAATGTACCAAAAATAGGGGATAAAAGCTTTCAGATGACAATAGGTTATTTCATTTCAGCCTCTAAATCCAAATAATTCTACTTATTTTTATGAACTTCAGTGACATGATTTCATGATACCTTTACTATAGTAAAAATGCAGAGTTTTTCTGTATCTTTTGGGAAATGGGTCAATTCTAAAAAAGTTCAAACTGCAGAGATGAAAAATAGACATAGTAACATCATTAATATGTATCTTATGAGGAAAGAGAAAAAAAATCTGTAGTTACTCACCAAAGGCAAAAGCTAAGAAATTGTTTCTCAAATACATCTATATCACCATCACTGGCCTTTTGCATTTTCTCAGTGAATACAAAAGACATTCCTTGCATGGTAGGGTCATGTCAGGAAAAAAAAGTGCAAATACAAACCAATATACATTATCAAAAGTTACAGGAATAACCAGAACATTTAGCAAAGATGCAATTAAGTCTGTCCCAGAAGCCTATATCGTAGAATCATACAATGCTGAGTTGGAAGGGACCCTCAATGATCACTCAGTCCAGCTTCTGGTCTGAGTGGACATCCCAAGAGTTATACCATGTGCCTGAGAGCACTGTCCAAATGTTTCCTGAACTGGTCACAGTCTTGGTGCTGTGACCACTTCCCAGGGGAGCCTGTTCCAGTGCCCAGCCACACACTGGGTGAAGAACCTTTCCCTAATATCCAACCTAAAACTCCACCAACACAACTTAAGTCCATTTCCTTAGGTCGTGTCTCTGGTCATCACAGAGAAGAGATCAGTGCCTGCCCCTCCTCTTCACCTCACGAGGAAGTTTTGACGGCCATGAGGTCTCCCCTCAGTCTCCTCCAGGCTGAACAGACCTCAGTGAAGTGATAACAAGTCACCTAAGTGACCTCAGATGCTCCTCATATGGCTACCTGTCCAGAGCCTTCATCATCTTCATAACCTTCCTTTGGACACTCTCTAAGAGCTTTGCATTTTCTATATTTTACATTCCTTTTTGTCCTACATGTTTTAGCTGTGTATATCGCATGTTTAGCCAAGTGCAAAATCTTTATATCCATTTTTCCTACAAAGCAACTGAGTTAGAAAACATAAGAAACACACAAATTTCACTACAAAATAAAAAGTATAGATTTTTTTAAGGTTTCAAAAAAGTATTCTACAAAGTCTTCCAAAGTCCTGAGAAATAAAAGGGATAAAAATCATCCATTACCCATCAGCTGATTTAGGTGCTCTTATCTGCCTGAATTTCAGTCATTTGCTGCGATGCTAGAGGAGAAATCATTAGCTAAGCAGAAGTAGATAGAAATCAGTACTGAACTCTAGTTGTGAGTAAAGGAGATGGTAATGACTACAATGAAAGAAGTATAGAACAAGAGGAAATGACCTATTAAAAAAAAAAAAGCATAGAAAAAAATTGTAATTAGCAAAAAATAAAAGCTTCTAAGAACTCAGCATAGCCTCATTTGAAATATTAGATAAATTGTAGTCACTAAGGTCTGAAGGAGGAGGAAGAGGATGGATAAAAAAAAGGAGTAAAGTAGAGGAGGAGCTAAGGAATATCTGATCAGGGCAGAGGAAGGTGGCAAAACAGTGTACTTGGTTCAGCTGACCAAATGAAATTTGGGAAAATCTTCTATTATCAGTAAGCTCCAGGGAAAAGAAGTCACTGTACTAAGAGGGTAGTGCTCAAACTTAGCTATAGAATACATAAATAAAACCTGCAGAAACATATGATTCTAGAAAAAAAATAAGGCAAGAAATTTAGCATGATCTTGTAGTAGTATGAGACCAGAGGGAAGTGACCAAAAGGGGACAGTTTCAGTCTGAGGTCCCATGTCACACAGGAGAACAATATCCTGTAGACTGTGATAATAAAATATACAAAGATATTGTTTCTCTTTTTTTTTTTGGCAAATATGAATGAGAATGAGCTAGGAAGAGAAATAGTTCCACAAGAAAGAGATAAAATATGCTAAAAACACAAATCAAAACATAAAAGTCAACTTTTTAAACACTTTTTTACATGGCTGTTCAATATATACATTGTCTAGATGTCTATTGTTATAGTCAACCTAATAATCTGTATTTAGAGTGTCTTCAACTTTATTCATAAGTGAATATGGCTATGATTTTTGATTTTATTACTGACGAATGAAGGTATACGAAGTAATTTTGGCAATGCTGCTAAGTTGAGAGGAGCTTTTGACTCCCTCAGAGGCAGGGAGGCCTCACAGAGAGACCTGGACCTATGAAAGGACTGTGAAATCATCAACTGTATGAAGATAAACAAGGGCAAGTCTTGGATTCTGCACTTGGTATGGGGCAGCCCTGTATGTTCATATAAACTGGGGAATGAGAATTTGTAGAGAAGCACTGTGAAAGAAATCTTGTTTGATTACAAGTTGAATATGAGTCAACAATGCTCTGGCAGCCAGGAGGGTCAAGTACATCCTGGAGAGCATCAGTCCATCAACAGCATAGGAGGAAAGTTTGTCCTGCTCTGCTCCGCACTGGTGCAGACTGTTTTGAGTACTGTGTGTGGTTTTGGACAACACAATATAAAGAAGACTTAAAGCTATTAGAAAATGTTCAAAGGAGGGCCACAAAAATGGTGAAGGGTCTGGAGAGGAAGCCATATGAGGAGCAGTTGAGGTCACTTGGTCTGTTCAGCCTGGAGAGAAGGAGACTGAAGGGAGACCTTATTGCAGTCTACAACTTCCTCATGAGGGGAAGAGGAGGGGCAGGCACTGATCTATGGGCAGGACCCAAAGACAGAACACTATGAGGCTATGCAAAGGGAAAAGAGGTATGGGGAGGGGGGCTAACTTGGATATTAGGGAAAGGTTTTTCACTCAGAGGGTGGCTGAACGCTGGAACAGTCTCCCCAGGTAAGTGGCCACAGAACCAAGCCTGACAGAGTTCAAGAAGTGTTTGGACAATGCTCTCAGGTACATGGTGTGACTCTTGAGGTGTCCCGTGCAGGGAGAAGAGTTGGACTGAGTGATTGTTGTGGGTCCCTTCCAACTCAGGATATTCTATGATTCTATGAAACCAGCTATTCAGCACCTTTACATGTAGAGTAAATGTCTAAATGGAACGAAACTGGAAAATTGGTGAATTTGGAACTAGATATTGTTCCACATTTTCTGATTTACATCTGATGTATTCTACAACTACAAAATATTGGCCTTCTGATTTGCAAAGTGTATGTGTGTATAAAAGTGAGACCTGAAAGATTTCTATTAATGGCAACTGACATTGTTGAAGGAGAATTGTTGACACTTTCTTACTAAAAATAATTAATAACAATTACTGAAAAGTTACTACATTTGTTACCAAAAAAAAAAAAAATGGTAGGAATTTTCATTTGTGCTGGGACTAAGCTTCTTTGGTGATGTTTTGTCATTGTTATTCTATCTTTACTCCTGTTGTGATAAGTTAGGACTTGGCAGAGCTTTGTGATTCAAGACAGCTTTTTTTGGATAGTCTTTCATCTTCAAACAAAATTTCATAGACTTTTTTTTCTTAATATAAAGTATATAAGTGGTAATTTTGGAGCAAATCAAGTGATAAAATGCTATCATTTACACAGTTCACTTTTTTTAAATAGCCATAATAGTGATTAGTCTATATTAAGACCGAAATATCTCTGAAATTATATTTTAAGGTAAAATAATGTACAAAATTAAAAAGAACAAGCCTGCTTTGAGCAATAAAATTCTGCTGCATCCCAAATTATCACAGTAGGGTAAAGATATTCTTTCCCAAAGCTAACAGGGCACCTTAGGCAATTTTCTACAGTTAGAGAAAAAAACAGCATGTACACACGCGCGCACACACACACACACACATGCACAGCCTCTACAAACTGTAAGTTTGTGATGGTGAGAAACTTCATAACACATTACTAGTCTCATGAGCCATTCAGTCCTGGGGATTGGTAAATGGACTTTGAATTCCTCCTGTACTAAATTCCTGTTATGAGTAGCTTTTGTTGCTCAGGACAAGACATCATTACCACCAAATGACTGTGTGGTCAACTGTATGAAATGAATTGGTGGCCTCAGTTCAGTTCCTAGTGGACAAGTAATTACTGCTGCTGTCGACCTGCAGGCTCTTTTTCACTCCGTTACACAGGTACAAACAAGTAATTCCAAGTGAATTGAACTAGTGTAAATGCAATTAGATTCTGGCTCTTTGATGGCCTGTTGCAAGCCTACGTGCTAAGCTTCATGCACTTCTGCCAACATAAACATCATCCACATTAAGCCAAGTCCAATGTAAGCAAGGACATCCATAGTGTTTTTACACTATGTAATATTTTTACAAGTGAATTTACACTGCAATCTCCCTATAGACTACAGGACAGTTTAGAAAAAGTCTTTGCAGCCTACAATACATAATGAGGATAATGGAGATTAAGTATTAACTCTTAACTTCTGACTGTTTAGAAGAATATAACACCATTTAAGTCACATTGATGGATGAATTCATAATTCAGAATACTGTAACAGACTATGAACTTTCCCTGTGAAGAAATCAACATCTTAATTTACATAGAAGATACTTTGTATGAGATTAAAGATACCTTAAAATTATCAGAAAAAAAGGTACATGAGATTTATTTTTTGTCATATTTTTTGTCAGTTGATTATGCATGAATTTTGTCCCTAGAATACCCATGAATAAATGCACACACATATAAATATAGTTTCAACTAATGTCTTCCTGAAAAGACATGGAATTATGTAGCTTTTGAAATTATTACTTTAGCACTTTCAGAAAGTAAAATTCATTTCTTACCTATCAAACCATTAAACATAAATAAGAAAAGGTAGTTAATTAATGTAATTGCACCCAATTCATTGTATTGCAAAGATTGAATATAAACAAAAAAATATTATTCAAGAAAGTTTCTCCTATGTTCCTAACTCCAAACACCACTGGTATAAACACAAATAGGGTATTCATAAGCACTCTGAATAGGAAGTTCATGGTAGAAAGAGTTTTCCACTTGAGCAGTTTTTTTTTGGGGGAGGGGGTGATAAGAAGGGATAAGAAACTGGATCTGACTGGGAAACTAGATTCAAATGCTTGCTTGTTTTGATGAGAAGCAGACACCTGAATCTATGCTGCCTGTGAAAAATGAACACCTTAAAAATTAGGCTACTCAGTTATGAAACTCAATTTGCTCTTGTTAGTACTACACTGCTTCCAGAGAAACAGGTGAAAAAATGGGGAATCAGAATTTAGTCTCTCAATGACAGGTAAGAACATGAATGGCCACAGTATCTTAATTCCCACAATCATGTTTATTTTGCACCATACTCTACTTCTGTTCTTTAAAACTATCAGTTCCAGTATTTTGTAAGCTTTTCAACTTGTCATGTGGGGTGGAAATATTTTCATCACCCATGTTCACAGAATGAGAAAGGGTGTTCTTCTTCCTGCCACAAAAGGTACATGGACTTTGGCCACAGGTAGCACAAGCTGCCTCATCAAGGCACACATGGAGATGAATGCGCTAACAATGCAGCAAGTGACTTCAGTGTCTTTGTTAATAGAGGTTTAAGTCTCAAGCTTGACATTATTTGAATGTAGTTCTCTGTGGTTTAATTACTACCATTATTATTATAGATACAGTACTAATTATCTCTTCTTACTGTCTCATCATGTTTTGATCAATTCACATAAAAGTTTACAGTAAATATATGGTTAGGTAACATTAAGGAAAACATATAATTATGGAATATATAATCAACATTCTCAACAGTTGTATGTTTTCCAACAATTAAATGCTTTTTAAAAAAAATAATTAATTGGTTTTTAATATGCAATATTCAGCTTTTGAAGCAATGAATATATAAAGCTTTATTTGTTGACCTCATATTACTTTACTCCAGTTATATTGATAACATGTAGGTTTCTCAAAAACCTGCTGGCACAAAATCTTTTCAGCTTTATTAATGATTCAGATGGCAGTTTCTGAAGAGACAAGTCCCACAGAGAAGGAGCACTTGATTAATGACCTGGAAACACTTTTCCTTTTCAGCTGATTAAATAAAATTGACTGGATTTTTACATTTTTATAATAAAATGACCCGCAGGGCTGAGATGACACAGTGAAAGCAGCATGTTCACTCTTCAACAGATTTTTATTTTGTCACTTGTAAAAATGAAAGGGCTAACCACCCAAGCAGAAAAATGCACTTTATCACTGTCCACTGCCAACATGCTGACAATTGCTGCATACAAATACAAAACCACGGAGGAAAATAGGCTGTGTTTACACTCAGCCTGATTTTGTCTAATGATGACAAAAGGTCTGTGACTACTCGGGGTTAGAGTGATACTATTTAATTATTATGCAAAATAGATTTATAAAAACACTACTGGCGATCATAAAAGGCTTTATAATATGGTCACTAAGAAGTGGTACTAAATACCTTTTCATAAATTTACTTATCACAAGAAATTTATTTTTCTTAAGCAAGATAGTAACTATTTTTAAACAATAATACAGTTGCCAGCTGATATAATTTGAAAAATTCAAAGTTACAGAAGAAACATTTTGTTTCTAAGCACACACACTTGTACTCACAAAGGCATATAAGGTTGTTGTAAGCAGCAGCTGTTATACTTAGTCTGCCTGAGTACAGCTTGGTTTAAGATTTCCATTCATCTCTTCTGGATTTTTTTGTTTTCTTGTTTCTTTCCTTGACCCTGCACTTTGCATACAAGCACCTAGCCTGATAAAACAATCAGTAATTTCAGTCTGTGTAAGTAATCAAAAGTGTTTTACACTCTCTTAAAAGCTGTTTGTTTGTTTTCCTAATATTAAACTGAGTCAATATGAGTAATCCCTTGTGGATTCATCGGGCTGATATAAATTATCTATATCTCATATGAAATCTTACATTAAATCTATATCTGCCTGATCTCCCCCTCAAACAGAGTCACCTTATCCTTACTTTTGGGAACAGTCCATGGTTGACCCTAGCATTGCAATCAAGCCCAAATATTGGCTAAGAGTTTTAAATGGACTGAGGCAAATACAGAGCAATAAGTGTGACAATTGTTCGACACTGTCAGTTATCATTACCCGAGCCTTGACACACCAGTAAATTTAGAATTACATTAAAGAAAATGCAAAAATTATAAAGGAGATCCAGATCTTCCCAGCACTGCCTGGATTATGGTACATATGCAGTTTGTGTGCAGCTTCTTTCTCCAATTTTGTATTAAGCCTAAAGAATTTAATGGTCTCTCTTAAAAATAATTTCTCTTGAAGAGTGAATGCATTGTATTACTCATTAGTTGTCTTCTACTTTGTTCTTTGTCTGAATATCAGAGAAGTTTACAGTCACTGAACATGCAAATGAGGGAGATACACAGTTTAACAGTATTTAACTTTTCATTTCAAATTTGGACCACTACTATAACATCTTTACAATTCAGTGTTTAGCTGTAGCACATAAACATGTATGGTTAAAAATACTGATGTTTCTTTGCTTTCCGCATGGGTAGTGTTGTAAGTTTAGGCAAGGCAATTGGTAGAATCAGTGCACTCACCAGGAGTAGCATAATTTAAATGATTTTATCATCTGTTCTTAAAGACCTAGGACTTCTAACACACCTGTCACTTTTGCACAAGGATTATTTGCATATTTAAGACAATAATTTCATTTTTCTCTAAAATGGAGTTTCTACTCTTTTAATTTTTAAACAGATAAGAGAGCAGGCACTCCAGCAATGATTTAGTTTCTGTTTCAGCTAGAAAGTTCTGAAGTGGGTATAATGAAAGATAATGGAGATGTAAGCATATGTTACATATATATGTGTGTCTATATAAGATCATAGTGACTTTGACTGTTTTTACCCTAAGTATTAAGCAAAGTTTATCCACTATGAAATAAAATTATTTTATAAACCAGTTTTTGAAAGGTGCTTGTCACAAAGGTCATACTCTCTTAAAACAAACAAACAAACAAACAAACAATCAAAATAAAATTGTAAATAATGGAAATAATAAGAACTTTGAGTATTGGCTCTCTTAAGCCCGGCGAGATGGACATTGGCATGCGTTTCACTGTTTAAATTAAGTCAGAATGTGTTCTCATCAGTTAGATCCCTTACTGTCCATCCACACAGCCAATCATACTCATGCAAAAAGTAAGCAAAAGCAGTGGGGATGTAGAAAGAAAAAATATTCATCAGTTATCTTCATTGTCATTATAAATTAAAACAATCACAGCACAAAATAGTGCTCAGATATACTTATCCACCTACAAAATTACTGTTCACTATATAGGGTGAAGGGGAACTCTAAACTGGATAAATCAGATAAAATGTCATGATGGATGTGAAAGAGAGAATACCATAGCAAGGTAAGGCTATTTCATCGAGCCATATATTTCCACTCTTGGCCTTTGGTATTGGTTAGCCAAAGAAAAGGCATTGAGGCAGCAGGAGAAGAAAGAGCTTAATTTGAAGGCTCTGATGAACACAGAGGAAGAAATATTTTTTTGGAAGTACAGACTTCCAGAATTAAGGGCTACAAATTAAGTGTTGTTTCTAACACTGTGCAAACTATGTCCTACCAATAGAACGTACTGGGCAAAGTTCCTCACCTGTAGGCACATGGCAAGGGAGCCCAGCCATAGAAACTCAGTGCTAGCCTTGCAAGATCAAAATGTATGGGGTGAAATTTACACTCTCTAAGTGCAAATTGTGATCCTTTATTTCTCTTAGTAACTAGAGAAGTGATAACTTAATTTAATCAAATGGAGGAAAATGTGGTATTGCACTTTGCATGAATAATCACTTGCATAAGAGCAAACTGAGAAATCATTGGCTGAATGTCAGATCTGCAAATCATGCAATGATTCACAAACTGAATCTGGGACAACAGCTTCATGGCATTGCTCAAAAGGCAAAGATCTTTCTGTGACAAGCAGGAATTGTGATCTTCAAGGTCCCTTTCAACCCAAACCATTCTATGTGGCCTTCAACAAAAGGCGTGTATTTTAGATTTAAATTCACCATGTCAAGAGAAACATACTCAAACTGAAAGAATCTAGAGAACAGCAGAACGAATGATCAGAGAGCTGGTAAAATGGTCCTGCAAGAAAAGAATGGAGAGAATAAGACTTTTTAGTCTAGAAAACAAAAAGACTGAGACATAATGCTTTTTGAATCTTCAAATATATTCCATAGCTGCTGCAAGGAAAAATAATTTATTCCTCATGCCTGGGACAGAAAAGGAAGAAGGAGAACTTTAGGGTGACTGTTAGGCTACATATTCTAACCACAAAATTATTGAGGTAAAAGAATGAGCTGTCTGGGAATTTACTGGCATCTCTTCTATGAGAGAGGAGATTCTTTTCTTTCTGAAAGAGGAGATTCTTTTCTTTCTGAAACTAAAAAAAAAGTGCAATTTTAGTATTAGAATAAAATAATTAATATTCTTCCAGTGTTAAATCAAAGAG